AAGAAGAAGAAGAAGAAAGAATCCGAGATGATTTCGCCTTTTCTCTCGTTGAGCACCTCTTCCATCCTGACTTTATCTTACGTCGGAGGTCTTTACGTATCGAGCAAGACGAGAGTGGGCACACTAGATGAATCTACGGGACTGAAGAGGACGAAAGATGATGCAGATGTGGTCAGGGCTAGATTGAAAACGATTGGTTATGTTGCTGCGGGGAGCGTGGTCTTGACCCTTGCTGTGCTGAGTGGAGCGGATGAGGGCACGGAAAGAGGCAAAGTGGGTTCGCTAAACAGCCTTTTTGTTGGCCTACTCACACCATCGCTGATTTTACAAGAGCATCCCACTCGTGCTTTAGCATCCTCTGATCAGGTGCATCACCCTGCTCTCCAAGATTGGACTTCCGCTGCCATATCCTTCAATCCTCACGAGCGCCTTTCCGCCTCTCGACCCACCCTTGTTTTCCTTTCTGCTTACACAAGCAAAACATGTTCTATACGGTCTTGGCTTGACAGCAACTTTGTACTTCGGACCGCTCGTCACGTTGGCTTTGGACAAGGAGCTTCCAGGTCAAGAAAACTTCGACTACAAGAGGGACGTGCAAAGTCGATGGGACAATGTCTGGGGACTACGAAACTACGTCGTCGTGAGTGTCGCGGATGCCCTGCTCAAATTCCGAGGCTGGGAATGAAGCTTTACGGAGTGCAGCCGTGCAAGACGACTAATCTGTAAATCTACCATGCGCACGTGCACAGGGTCCTCTGACAGAAGAAATCGTCTTTCGAGGCTGCATAGTCGGTCTGACATCAAGCACGCGCAGCAGCACTCTTCTCCACTCCATCTTTCTGACCCCTTTCTACTTTGCCGTAGCGCACCTGCATCACGCCTACGAAGTCTGGACGGATCACGAATACAGCATGACCGGTTTGAAAATCGGCTTGACGCATGCTACTTTTCAATTGCTCTACACCAGCTTGTTTGGTTGGTATGCGAATTGGTTGTTCGTCAAGAGCGCATCGCTCGCTCCTAGCCTCGTCGCTCATGTTTGGTGCAACATCATGGGCTTGCCTGCTCCCTTCGACGACGCTGCGCGCTTGGCTGTGCCCGACGCAAAAGAGCAAAGAAGACTTGAAAAGGGTTTGCTCAACATCTCAAACGAAACGCAAAGAGGAGATATTCTCGACGCATCCAAGGCAATTCAGAGCAAGCTGAAACGCAGAAAGTGGATCGTATGGACATCTCATGTGATGGGAGTGGCAGGCTTTGCATGGGCCATCAGGATGAGTTGATTCGTATTCTATTCCATCATGTACCAAGGCTTGCTCTGAATGTCATCACTGCGCCGAGACGTCCGACCGAAGCTGTATTCAGACAAAAGCCATGTATTGCGTGAAAAAAAAAATTGCACGCACACTGCCCTGCAGAAATGATGACACCAAGCTCATCACACATTTTCTGCGTCGTGCTGCTCCGCCTCTTGTTCACCAAGGACGTTCGGCTGAGCCTCAGCCTGATCGCCACCCCACCAGCCTCTCAATGCATTGCGCAGCATCCCAATAGGGCCCATATCTGCATCGTTCCCTTCTTCCGCCTCCGCAAACATTTCATCGCCTTCTTCTCCTTCTTCATCAGCAGCCTGACCAAATGCGCCTGGAGGGTCATCTGCCGCCACGCCCCTATTTCGCCTCGCCTCAGCCGTCATCTGCATCAGCTCGGCCATGAGGTCTTCCTGGTCACAGACGGAACGGGGAGCACATGCACACGATGCGTGAGCATGCAACAAAGTACGGTGCGGCTCGATCATTGAAACAATGTCAAGATGCATACTCACCCGAGTCTCGTCGTCCATCTGCTCCATCGCAGCTCCCCACTCCTCCAGTCCGTCCCCACCTCCTCGCATCATATTGACAAGGTTTTGCAGCGCAGTGGCCAGCCCTCCACCTCCTGCGCCACCAGCAACGTTGGAGGCCAACCCGCTCGCCCTCATCTGTCTCTCCCTCTCCCGCTGTACAGGCGCAAAGTACTCGTCGTCGTAGCATGTCGCATGAGGACCTTTAGGAGGCAGAGGGTCCCACGCATCCAGCGATTCCTTGTTTGTAATGTCGGGAGGAAAGAAGCCTACGAGCTTTTGACGCAATGCGTCGGGCACTGCGCAAGCACGCAAGGAGAAAGGGAAACACGAGCGTCAAGCGGAAAAGCCTGCGAACAACCAGAGGAGATGCTACTCACAGTCGGACACCAGAACGTGCCTATACACGGCTCGACGATGGGTGTCTGAGCATTGCAAAGGTCTCGGCTTGTTCTCGCTTTTCTGTAGCTCAGGCCAAATCTCTTCCAACGTATCTCTAAGCCACTGGTTCGTCGCAGGTTCTCTCCAAAGGCTTTCGCTCCTAGCCACGTAAATATTGCCAAGCAACAGGGCAAGCACGTCTTCAGAGCCCGAGTATCTCTCCTCATTGATGCGGAACAGATTCGAATCTGCAAGTGATTGTGGAAGCGCATTGCCGATCTTGTCGAAGAGCATGGTCACAAAGACGGGGCATCTTGCAATGGCCAGCTTGAGCGCTGCGCTGCTGCGTTCACTCTCCTAAAGAGTCAAGCGGAAGGTGAAGCGTCAGTGGCCTCACGTTCGGCGCGTCATCGTAATCTGCTCCTCGTTGTGTCTGGCTCTCACCTGCCTGCCCTCGTCTTTCTCAATAGCTCTGATAGCCAGCGCTCTAGCGTAATACAGACCCGCTGTCCAATCCAAGGCGGACCAAGGCTCTTGCGCAAGCCCAGCTTCTTTCCAAAGTTTCTGCTCGAGCGGATTGAGCTTGACGCGAAGCTCTTTGGCCTTTCCCTGAGCTTGCAACGATTTGGCATTGCTAGCGTCGAGGTGGTCGAGCATCTCGACGAACCAGCCGTACTGTCTAGCTTTGACGGCAATAAAGTCGATCCAAAGCACCGAAGCGTGCGGGTCCTCCAGGGGATCCAATCCAAGTATGAACTTTGTCCATTCCAAAGCCGTCCTCCACGTTCCCTTTCTGCACAAAAAGTTAATCTGTCGATGCACCGCCAACCACAATCCTCTATTCTCCACCTTTGCAAAGTCCACCTGAGGAGGGCCCGAAGAAGAGACCAGGCCAGAGGTAAAGATCGGAGAGGCGGTCCGCTCGTAAGCGAACAAGGCGCGAGCGTTGAAATCTGAAGCTTGTCCTAGATCTCCTTGATGTCGAGAAATATCCGACAACTGCAGCAGAGTGTCCACATGCCAAGGACATTGCCTGAGCAGAGCTACCAGTTGATTTGGATCGTACCTGAGCGCGGGCGCGTACAAAATCAGGAGAGGACTTCAACAGATGCATGCACAGCACGGCAAGATACTCTATCTGGCAGCAACTCACGATTGTACTGCTTGCAAGAATGCCAGCTGCACTTGGCGATAAGCGCTGCATCGACGCGGGACAGCCGAATTACTCGTCATTCAGCTGA